CGGCTTTGAGAAGACTTATGGAAGTCTTCTCCAGCAGTTAGATTGGCCAGGAATGAAAGGATCTGCTCAGAAATTCATCGCTGAATGTCAAGTATGTCAAAGAACCAAGGTCCACAGGCATAAGCCTTATGGCTTGCTGAAACCCCTCCCTATTCCTGATGGACCCGGTGAGTCGATTCCCATCGACTTCACGGACATGGGAAAGGTGAGTGAAGCAGGGAATTCACAAGTCATGGTCATAGTGGATCGTTTCTCCAAATTTCTGAATCTGATTCCTTTCCCTCCCCATGCCCTAATTGAGCTTGTCATCGAAGAGTTCCATCAGCAGTATATTCTGCAGTATGGCCAACCGAAAACCATTGTGAGTGATCGGGACACCCGATTCATTAGTAAAGATTGGAAGGACTTCACTTCTCAGATCTACGACATCAAACTCAACAACACTTGTGGTCGACACCTTGAAGCCAATGGACTGGCTGAGGAGATCAACCAGACTGTCATCCAACTACTTCGCGCATTGATTGTTCCATATCAGAACACGTGGGACAAGGAGTTGCACAAAGTGAAGGGACTGTACAACAACTCCATTCACTCTGCAACTGGTGTGACACCGAACCAGTTGCAATACGGATGGCCGATGCGTAACCCCCTCTCCTTTCTGTTCCATAAACGGTCACCTGGTCTGATGCCCGGCATGCCTGGCTACAATGCCAAGTACGCACGCTTGTTCAAAGCTGTTATTGCAGCCATGAACAAGCGCCAGCATACCATGATCAAACATGCTAACAAGTTGCGCAAAGAAGAAAAATTCAAAGTAGGGGATTATGTTTGGGTCAAAATGTCTGAGTTTTCTGACGAAGAGGGCGTATCACGAAAGCTCCTTCCATTGTACTATGGCCCTTGGCAGATTCTGAAGGTGATTGGGGATGATTTTGGTCCTTCATATGTGATTGACGTGCCTCCTCATCTGCGCACGTATCCGGTCTTTCATGCGTCCAAACTGTTCCCACACATTGATGATGAGACTTTTCCCTTCCGAGACCCTATGATACCTCGCTCTATCGACGACGGCCATGAGATAGACAGAATCGTTTCTCACGAGGGAAGAGGGAGGAACAGACAGTACAAGGTTCACTTCCTCTATCACCCGTTGACAGAATTCTTCTGGATCGACCGAAAAGAGCTGTGTTACGATCCTGGTCATTTCCCAAGTGCAATTCACAATGAAAGACAATGCCACCAAATTGCGAAAGAAATGAAAGCACTTGCAAAGAGATATGGACCAGAGGAGAGAGAAAGAAGAAGAAGAAGAAGAAGAAGAAGAAGAAGAAGAAGAAGAAGAAGAAGAAGAAGAAGAAGTACACCAGCAAGACAAATGACAACTCCCCCTTCTCTCTCCACCTT